TAGTAGAAGTGCAGCAGCTGATGGCAATTTTGCTTTAAAGTAAATATTTAATTTGGAATCAACGTATGGATGACTTGGTGAAAATGTTTGTTTGAAAAATGCATTTTCACATTTTTTTGTCTGACATGATAAATAAACTAAAATACTTTATTTTTTGTTACTATCAATCATCACTACAGTCATGATCAAAAGTAAGTACACCCTCATTTTATCAGCATTTCTCTCCTGTCTCATGAAGATTTATCAACCTGCCTCTGATTTCACCTCAGAGCTTCTACTTCCTGGTTCTGTTGCTCTGAAGGAGAAAATTACAAACCAGGTGAGCTGTGACGTCATCAGTTATACAACATCCATCACATTTACTTTCAGTTTGGATTCACCTGTTCAGGTGTGGCTCCAGTCTGTTTGTCGGGTCTCAGATTGTGTTAAATTTTCTTCTTTAACTCTTTGGATCATTTGAACAAACTGTAAGTTTGATTTGTTTATTTCTTGAACTTTTTCATCACTTTAACTTTTTCCTGATTGTTTCTAATCTCTGATGTTTGGAGAAATTTTTCACTTCTGATTTCAGCTGAAACTTTAATATCTGCTGTTTGAAGGCTAATCTACAGGATTATTAGATTATTGATGAACTGGAATCAATCAACATGATGAACAGCTGATGATTCGCTGTTTTTCTCAGAACTGATTCATGTTTTATTTCCTGGTACTGAACTCTAGTCTCCACCATTAATGTCAGCAACAGTTTCCTGTTGCTTCCTTTCAAAATAAAATATGATTAAAATGGGTTTGATTCAGTCAGATGATTAAATAGTTCATCTTAATTAAGCAAATCCACTTGTATAAATTACTAATTGTGAATTATAAGACTTGTTCAGGTTGAATCAGTGAATGTAAATGTTGCTCCATGTCTCCATCTAGTGGATGATAGTAGAAGTGCAGCAGCTGATGGCAGCTTCCTCTGCCTCTCTGCTGTCTGACTGCATTCACCTGACACTGATATGAAGCAGAGAAGAAGAGCCAATCAGAGGAGGAGCAGCTGATCTTTTTCCAGCACTAATGATGTAAAGGATGATCAGAGTTGATGTGCAGATGAATGATGTGTGTTTCCTCTGCAGGTGAAGATAGAAAGTGTGTGTGAGCTGATGTGGATTCAGCAGCATGGATCAGTGAGGACAGAGAGGAGGGAGTCCCTCCCTCTAAAACCACTCTGTGGGGAAGATGAGAGCCAGAGCAAAGGTCAGAGGTGAGGTCACCATCTCTAACTGTCCTCAGCCCTTTTCACACAGCGTTCACTATATCAGGCCAGAACAGACGTGGTGATGAAGCTGCTGCTGCTCCTCTTGCTGATTAAGTTTTAATCATCATGTTTCTGTCAGGATCCATCAGAGACTCAAACCAGAACCAGAACCAGAACCCAGCAGTGTGTCCTTTAAGAGTGACTGGTCAAAGGTTGACATCATTAACTTTAAATCTCCTGGATCTCCACCATGAGAGGTGAGCTGTTTCTAACTGCTGTAACTTCTGTTTATATCTGTTATTGTGGCCATGTGATGATAAGTTCTGTTGGGTTCTGTTCTCATGAAAACACTGGACTGAATTATTTTTTATTTTCATACGTCAAAGATGTAATACGTATCATGTTACTATGAACACAATAAAGTTCAACTGGATCATTTGTATAAAAATCAAACAGGTCCGTTTGGATCCACAGTCTCTACCCAGAGCTTCACTAGTTAACAGAATCTCTAAATCTGATCTGATGTTTACCTGACATCAATTTAACCATCATTCATTGGACAGTTATTGACTCCATACAGAAAGAATCTTATAAATCCTCAGTCAGGACTCACTCTTATAAACTATTATGTTGACATGACATTTGGACCAGAAACATTTAACTGTGTTTTATTCTGTTTTGTTTAAGCCTAATTTTTCCAAATGAAACACTCATTTATTTAGTCTGATATTAATATTAACACAAGAACAAATAGACAGAAGTGGATTTTATTTCTAGGTTGATATTTGCATCTTTCTCTAAAATCTGACAAAAGACAGATTCATTCTGAAATAAAACATTTTCTATGAATTATTTTTCTGATTCTACCTTTGAAGTTCAAACATCATCCAACATGGCAGATTATCAACCATTTCTACAGTGAAACTAAATATTAGTGGATCTGATTGAGCAGTGGGCTTCAGTGTCTCTAACGGACCATCTGGTTCTGATTGAAGCTCCATCAGATCCTCCTTGGATGGTCAGAGTGGAAATGATTCCTGGTTCTGCTCCATGTCAGAGCTCAACACTAAGATCACCAAAACTGTTCTCTCAGTCATTTCAAACCAACATGTTGGTCTCAGAAACAAATCTTTCTGCTCTTTAAAGAAGGCTGGACATTATTCAGGAGGATCAATGATCAGGAACATGTTGGAGGATTGGACCGGTTCTGATAGGAATCATTTAGAACATCAGGTTGATGATCTGGCTGGTTCTACTGTGTCTCACAGTACCTTATTTTACAATGAACCACATTAAAAATATATTTAAAGAAAAACTTCAAGGAAAGATTTTAATGAGTTTCTTCTTTTGGCAGAATCCATCAGAGTTTTACACAAGAAGAAGAATCAGAAACCAGCAGCGATGAGTCAATGGATCGTAACATTAACTTTAAATCTCCTGGATCTCCATCATCAGAGAGGTGAGGTGCATCTAATGCTTTAACTCTGGAAACTGAACCAGTAAGAACTCAGATGTTTCCAGTTATATTTCCAGAGGTTTGATCCATTATCTACAGAAATCAGCTGCTCTGTTCTCATGAAAACACCTTCATATCTTTATCTCTGGATGTTGATGATGATGTTCTGTTGCTTCCTGGCTCCATGTCAGACTAACAGTGGATCACATTTCCACTGGGAAATACCTGGTAAAGCCATTCTGGTCCATCAGGACTTGGTTCCTGTGTGCATTGTGAGAGCAGTTCAGCAGGGAAGCAAAGCTTCATGATGTGGTTGGTGAGATCTGCTGGAACTCAACCAAACTGAGCTGATGTGGACCATCAGAGGTTCTGCTGGTTCTTAATGGGATCAGCAGGAACATTAAATCTTTACAACTACTTAGATCACCTGGTTCACTGCTCACATCCAGATATCACTTCATGGACCTTTACCTTCTGATTGTCTCTGTGTGGACAGATACAATGTGAGCTCACTGGCTTCCAGGGATCTACAGGATCCATTTTAAAATCCTCTAAAACATCCAGGAGAGGACCCCACATGGACACACCCACATATTTCAGACCTCCTCCATGTCCACATCACCTCAGATCTAGTCATCAGAACCTGAAGACGTGAAGACCTGTGTGGACAGAGCCTTCACTTCCACTGTCCCCAAGCTCTGGGAAACTGTCTCCACCAAGTCCACGTTCAAAATCAACTTTTTAAAATGTCTACTGGATTATTCTGGTGTTACTGGTATTCATCAGTGTAGATCATCTTCCTCTTTCTGACTTTGAATTGTGTTCATGTGATGCTCTGTTTTTCTATGTTAACTTTTAATGTGAAACTCTTGGTGATTTCTTCTGTGAAAACTGCTGGATGAATATTTCCTGACTTCCTAATTGTTCCTGGTTCCTCCACAGAGTGAACCAGCAGAGCTCAGAGGTTCCCAGGGGTCCTCTGCATCAAACACAGCTGGACTCCATATTTATGGTCTGTATATGAACAACAAATACTTTTCTATGAGTTCTGTTCAAAGTCACCTTCATGCTGTACTTTGTAGACCAGAGGACTGTCAGTCTATCCAACATCCATCTGGTGTTTGGCTCCATGATTTCACTCTGATGTTTCCTTCATCTATTATTCTGTTCCAGCTGCTGGAGGACAACATGTTACTTTTGTGAAGAAAGAACTGAAGAAGATCCAGAAACTTCTGAGTCCAGATTACCCAGAACATTCAGAGAGTCAGAGAGATGATGAGGTGTTGGAAGGTGATGATGAAGAGCAGAGGAGGAGCAGCAGAGAGGCAGTGATGAAGATCACACTGAACTTCCTGAGGAGGATGAAGCAGGAAAAGCTGGCTGACCATCTGCAGAGCAGTAAGAGGATTTCTCCAGAGATTAGAATTGATAGATAAATTACACATTTGCTGAAGTGATCAATTCAAATGATGATTTTCTTTTGTGTTTGATTTTCAATATTGTGTTAATTTAGGACAATTTGCTGTAGTTTGTCAACATCAACTTAAATCTGGTCTGAAGAAGAATTTCCAGTCTGTATTTGAGGGATTGCTAAAGCAGGAGATCCAACCCTTCTGAACCAGATCTACACAAAGCTCTACATCACAGAGGGAGGGACTGGAGAGGTCAATGATGAACATGAGGTCAGACAGATTGAAACAACATCCAGGAAACCACACAGACCAGAAACAGCAATCAGACAAGAAGACATCTTTAAAGTCCCACCTGGAAGAGATCAACCAATCAGAACAGTGATGACAAAGGGAGTGGCTGGCATTGGGAAAACAGTTCTAACACAGAAGTTCACTCTGGACTGGGCTGAAGACAAAGCCCACCAGAACATCCAGTTCATATTTCCATTCACCTTCAGAGAGCTGAATGTGCTGAAAGAGAAAAAGTTCAGCTTGGTGGAACTTGTTCATCATTTTTTTACTGAAGCCAAAGAAATCTGCAGCTTTGAACACTTCCAGGTTCTGTTCATCTTTGATGGCTTGGATGAGAGTCGACTTCCACTGGACTTCCACAACAAGGAGATCCTGACTGATGCTACAGAGTCCACCTCAGTGGATGTTCTGCTGACAAACCTCATCAGGGGGAAACTGCTTCCCTCTGCTCTCCTCTGGATAACCACACGACCTGCAGCAGCCAATCAGATCCCTCCTCAGTTTGTAGGCATGGTGACAGAGGTCAGAGGGTTCAATGACCCTCAGAAGGAGGAGTACTTCAGGAAGAGATTCAGAGATAAGAAACAGGCCAGGATCATCTCCCACATGAAGACATCACGAAGCCTCCACATCATGTGCCACATCCCAGTCTTCTGCTGGATCACTGCTACAGTTCTGGAGGATGTGTTGGAGAGCAGAGAGGGAGGAGAGCTGCCCAGAACCCTGACTGAGATGTACATCCACTTCCTGGTGGTTCAGACCAAAGTGAAGAAAGTCAAGTATGATGGAGGAGCTGAAACAGATCCACACTGGAGTCCAGAGAGCAGGAAGATGATCAAGTCTCTGGGAAAACTGGCTTTTGATCAGCTGCAGAAAGGAAACCTGATCTTCTATGAATCAGACCTGACAGAGTGTGGCATCGATATCAGAGCAGCCTCAGTGTACTCAGGAGTGTTCACACAGATCTTTAAAGAGGAGAGAGGTCTGTACCAGGACAAGGTGTTCTGCTTCGTCCATCTGAGTGTTCAGGAGTTTCTGGCTGCTCTTCATGTTCATCTGACCTTCATCAACTCTGGTTGTGATGTGATGAAAGAAACACAAATATCTAAGAAATCTTCATTACCTAATAAATCTGACCTAAACTCTCTCCATCAGAGAGCTATTGACCAGGCCTTACGGAGTCCAAATGGACACCTGGACTTGTTCCTCCGTTTCCTTCTGGGACTTTCACTGCAGACCAATCAGAGACTCCTACAAGGTCTGCTGGCAACTACAAGAAGTAGATCACAGACCAATAAGGAAACAGTTCAGTACATCAAGGAGAAGATCAGTGAGAATGTGTCTGCAGAGAAAAGCATCAATCTGTTCCACTGTCTGAATGAACTGAATGAGCGTTCTCTAGTGGAGGAGATCCAACAGTCTCTGAGTTCAGGAAGTCTCTCTACAGATAAACTGTCTCCTGCTCAGTGGTCAGCTCTGGGTTTCATCTTAGTGTCATCAAGAAAAGATCTGGATGTGTTTGACCTGAAGAAATACTCTGCTTCAGAGAAGTTTCTTCTGAGGCTTCTGCCAGTGGTTAAAGCCTCCAACAAAGCTCTGTAAGCACACAGATTTTTAATGCAGTTATTTTATAGATTGAAATATGCTAATTATGATGTGAATATTCATGATTCAGTTTATATATTGATGCGTTGTCTCTTCACATTGTCCCATTGGGGGCATGCACAAAAAGGTAACATTTTCTTTCAGCAGCTGGACAAAGTGTTACATATTAAAGCAGCAAAAGTCCTCCACTGTAAAAATTTAAATTGGATCAATAAAGTGAATTGTGCAATTTTATGATGCTCCTTCCAACCTCCTTGCTACCTGTAATTCAGTTTTTAAAGGCTGGAGGTCAAACTATAGAATGAACCAGTTCACAGTAAATGCAAAGGTTGTGAAAAATAAAATATCTTTCTCTGTCTCATAAAAACATTGTTGATTTGAAATAATATAAATTTTGAGAAATTGTTTAACACACATTTTCCTCCCTGTCTCCTTAGACTGAGTGTCTGTAACCTCTCAGAGAGAAGCTGTGAAGCTCTGTCCTCAGTTCTCAGCTCCCAGTCCTCCAGTCTCAGAGAACTGGACCTGAGTAACAACAACCTGCAGGATTCAGGAGTGAAGCTTCTCTCTGCTGGACTGAAGAGTCCAAACTGCAACCTGGAAACTCTCAGGTGAAATGTTTTGAATCCTAGTGAAACCATATTTCTATCCACTAGCTGCTAGCAGAGATTGTCAAAAGTATTTGACCACCCATCAAAATGACTGTAATCAGGAGTTCAAATAACATTTGTGGCCACAAGTGTATGAAAGTAAGCACATTGGCATGTAGACTGTTTTTGACAAACATTTGTGAAAGAATATGTTGCTCTCAGGAACTCTGTGAAATCCAGAGTGGAACTGTAAAAGGATGTGCAACAAGTGGATTTTTGTTCATTATCCTGGACAGCTGAATAGGTGTGTGTATTTATTTATACATATAAAAAATAAAATTCCCTTCTCACCCACTGCGGGTGGTTCTTATCCTCTGGGCTCGGGTCCTCTACCAGAGGCCTGGGAGCTTGAGGGTCCTCCAGTATCTTGGCTGTGCCAAGGACTGCACATTTCTGGACTGAGATGTCTGATGTTGTTCCTGGGATCTGTTGTAGCCACTGCTCCAGTTTGGGGGTTACTGCCCCGAGGGCCCCGATGACCACAGGCACCACTGTGGTCTTCACCTTCCAGGCCCTCTCCAGTTCTTCCCTGAGGCCCTGGTATTTCTCCAGTTTCTCGTGCTCCTTTTTCCTGATGTTGCAATCACTTGGTATTGCTACATCTACCACAACGGCTTTTCTCTGTTGTTTATCCACTACGACAATGTCTGGTTGGTTCGCCATTACCATTCTGTCTGTCTGGATCTGGAAGTCTCACAGGATCTTAGCTCTGGCGTTCTCCACCACCTTTGGGGGTGTTTCCCACTTTGATCTCGGGGTTTCCAGTCCATATTCTGCACAGATGTTTCTGTACACTATACCTGCCACTTGGTTATGTCGCTCCATGTACGCTTTCCCTGCCAGTATCTTGCACCCTGCTGTGATGTGCTGGACTGTCTCAGGGGCCTCCTTGCACAACCTACACCTTGGGTCTTGTCTGGTGTGGTAGATCTGGGCCTCTATTGCTCTGGTGTTTAGGGCCTGTTCCTGGGCGGCCAGGATGAGGGCCTTTGTGCTGTCCTTGAGTCCAGCTTTTTCCAGCCATTGGTAGGATTTACTGATATCAGCCACTTGGGTTATTTGCTGGTGGTACATCCCATGTAGGGGCTTGTCCTCCCATGATGGTATCTCTGGCACCTCAACCTCCGTTCCCTGTTGTCTGAGACATTCGCTGAGCACATTGTCTGTTGAGGCTTTGTCCCTGATGTATTTATGGATCTTAGTTGTTTCATCCTGGATAGTGGTTCTCACACTCACTAGTCCTCTGCCTCCTTCCTTGCGGCTCGTGTACAGTCTCAGGGTGCTGGATTTGGGATGGAACCCTCCATGCATGGTTAGTAGCGTTCTAGTCTTAATATCTGTGGCTTTTATCTCCTCCTTTGGCCAGCTAATTATTCCAGCAGGGTATCTGATTACTGGCAGGGCATAGCTGTTTATCACACAGATCTTCTTCTTGCCATTGAGCTGGCTTCTCAGGACTTGCCTTATTTGTTGGAGGTATTTAGCTGTGGCTCCTTTCCTTGTGGCCTCATCGAGGTTGCCATTTGCTTGTGGTATACCTAGGTACTTGTAACTGTCCTCTATGTCTGCTATTGTTCCTTGTGGGAGTGAGACTCCTTCTGTGCGGATCACCTTCCCCCTTTGTGATCAGCCGACCACACTTCTCTAGTCCGAATGACATCCCAAAGTCAGTGCTGTAGATCCTGGTGGTGTGGATCAGTGAGTCGCTGTCTCGCTCACTCTTCGCATACAGCTTGATGTCATCCATGTAGAGGAGGTGACTGATGTTGGCCACATTTTTGAGTCGGTATCCGTAGCCAGTCTTGTTGATAATTTGGCTGAGGGGGTTCAGGCCTATGCAGAACAGTAGCGGGGACAGAGCATCTCCTTGCTATATGCCACATTTGATGGACACTTGTGCAAGTGGTTTGCAGTTGGCTTCAAGGGTGGTTTTCCACAGCCTCATCGAGTTTGCAATGAAGGCTCTCAGAATCCTGTTGATGTTATACATCTCTAGGCATTCAATGATCCAAGTATGCAGCATTGAGTCATAGGCATTCAATGATCCAAGTATGCAGCATTGAGTCATAGGCTTTCTTGTAATCGATCCAAGCCATGCACAGGTTGGTGTGTCGGGTTTTGCAGTCTCGGGCAACTGTGCGGTCTACGAGGAGTTGGTGTTTGGCTCCTCTGCTATTTACACCGATACCCTTCTGTGCCGTGCTCATGTGTTTATCCATGTGTTTGCTTATCTTGGCCACTATGATGCCTGACATGAGCTTCCAGGTTGTGGAGAGGCAGGTTATTGGTCGGTAGTTGGGTGGGACTGGACCCTTTGATGGATCCTTCGGGATTAGGATTGTCCGCCCTTCAGTTAACCATTCAGGGTGAGTCCCACTTTGCAGCAGCTGGTTCATTTGGCCTGCCAGTCGCTCATGGAGGACAGTGAGTTTCTTTAGCCAGTAGGCATGGATCATGTCAGGGCCTGGTACTGTCCAGTTTTTTATACCTGAGACTCTTTCTTGAACATCTGTCACAGTGATGGTTACCGGGGCTTGCTCAGGGAGGTTGCTATGGTCCTCTGGTAGAGAGATCAGCCACTGTGCATTGCTGTTGTGGGACGCCTCCCTTTCCCATATGCCTTTCCAGTATTGTTCAGTCTCCAGCCTTGGTGAGTCTCTAGACCCACCAATATATATATAAGTGTGTGTGTGTGTACATGTTTTACTCTTTTATTTTATTGAAAGCTTAATTTATTGACTTTTTTCCTCTTGTGAAAATGACCAGCTCGGAGCTTGTGTAACACAGTTGAGAAGGGTACAATATGTTTTAGGTAGATGGGCCAATAGGTTTGGCTGTCGGAGCACGATGGGTGTTTAAATGACACACATACACAGTTGAGTGAATTTAAAAAACAATTAGCTTTAGTAACATGAATCATAAACTCACAAGTGGACAAGACATACAATTAAGAAAATAAAATTACACACAATAAAATACATAAAATAAAAACAACAATACTTGGCCAAGTGCTAAATATCAAATTTAAATCTATTGGGTGCACTCTGGTAGTTTGCGCTCTAATCTCTTTTAGATGACAAATGAATCAAATTAAATCCTGGTTCAGGTCTCACTCAACATGGGAGGAAATCCAGATCTTTCTAAGTCCAGGTGGGAAGGCTCGCCATCAAAGTCAGTAGGGGAATCCACTCCAGGAACAATCCAGGAGAAGAGAAGAAAAAGCAAAAAAACAAAAACAACACAACAACAAAAAAAAAAACGATCTCAGTGCGGCACGTTCAAAACAACTAGACAGGGACTCTCATTCCAGACACGGAGGGCACTTCAGTTGAACTGAAAACAACTGCCAATCAACTGCTAGAAAGTGCAACAGTTCCAACTGATCTTAGTGGTTTCTGGCTCAGCTGTCTGATCAGGGTCAGATCTCCCGCTCACAATCAACGCTGCCAACACGGGAAAGAAGGTGGAGCCTCTGTGGCATTCCGCTCTCTGATTGGTCTAAACATTCATGGGAATCAAACTTCCCATTGGCCAGGCAGACTACCCCGCCTACCCAATCTCTATTTCCCAAAAGGCTATCCCCACTTTATGTGGGTTACACCCTCCCCTCTGAAGGGTATGCCCGTCCCTGGGCATCTGCAATACGACACTGAGTCGCACAGCTTAAGCATGCCTGATGGAATTATGGGATGCATTCTCCAAGCCATTCAGGGAGCTAGACAATGCTTCACTTAGACCCTGGAAAAGAGAATTCACCACCATCATCAGAGGATTTCCCAGTTTTGGATACTCTAATCTGTTTGGCTTTGTGTGTACTCTTTCAGAGCGACGAAGAAATGTTTCAGAGTTTTGAAGTCCCTCAGTCTGAAACTTTAAGGGTTCAGGTTGGGCAGTAACAGGTTCATTTACTCCATAAAACTCATCATCATATGCTGCATCTGAGCTCATCCCATTATATGGAGGAGTTTCCTCAGATTGCTGCAAATCCAAACACTGAGGGGATCCTTTAACTGAATTTAGTTCAGGTAAAACGTTTGCTTCGAATAATCTGTTATGTTCCGATAGGTTGTCATTTTCAGGTAGGTGAACACTTGATGCATCTTGAATATCTCCAGTACTTCTATCTCCTACAATATGAGTAGCTGGAACATCAGGTGAGAGGGAAACTACAGATCTCCCTGTTTCTGCTGATGGTCGAACTGCACTGGGATGCTCACTTGACTTGTGAGTTTCAGGCACTATGACATATACATCGGGTTTTGACACAATACGAGGGAACGATGTCCAATCAGGTACATCATCCAGATCTGAGATGATTTCCTCTTCACTCTCGACGACCGGACATTGTCTCGTTCTGGGTCTCCTGTTTGGACAAGGTTTGACTGTTTCAGGCTCTGCAGCTGCTGACAGGAATCCACATGGCAGAAGCAGGTCTCTGTGCAGAGTCCGCACTGGTCCATCTTTACTTTCCGGTTTAACTGTATAAACTGGCATTTCTCCAGCTCTCTTGAGGACAACATAAACATCCTCCTCCCACTTGTCTGCCAATTTATGTTTTCCACGCAGCTTCACATTTCGCACAAGAACTCTGTCTCCTGTCTGCAAAGTTGATTCAATCACTCGCCGGTCAAATCTGGCTTTATTGTGACTTGCATTCTTTTCTGCATTGCTAGTAGCAATACGGTAACTTTCTTCCAATCGAGATTTTAAATTGCCAACATACTGGGAATGAGTCTGCTTCGTAGCATTGGTGGGCAATCCGAAAATCAAGTTAATGGGTAATCTGGGCTGTCTCCCGAACATTAACTCGTATGGGGAAAATCCAGTCACATCACTCTTTGTACAATTATAAGCATGTACCAGAGGTTTGACAAAGTCTTTCCAGCGGAGTTTATCTGACTTATCAAGTGTTCCAAGCATTTGAAGAAGTGTGCGGTTGAATCTTTCAACCGGATTTCCCC